CCAATCCACCACTGGAAACTGGAGGATTGGATGATGAGCTGGGTGCGACCTACCCCATGCATCTGTGTGTGCAGTGTGGTGCTGCTGTGTGCATGTAAACGTGATATGTATGTGCATGTCGGCATTTAAGCTTTTTGTGGCCTGGGCCTGTCCCCTCAGCTGTGCTTTGCCTGGAGGTGCGGGTACATTCTTATAACACAGCATATATGTTTACATGTACGATTCTGCAGGTTTCGTGCACCATGGCCTTGGAGCACCCACGATTCATGGAGCGACTGCTGTTGGAGGAATCGGCTTTTGGCCTAGGTCTTGCTTGCTTCAATTTTTGGTTCATTTCCTGTTGTCGCGAGGACTTTCTGAACCAATGGCTCACGAGATCCGACGGTGTGCTACCAAGTATCAGGAAAAACAAGGACCAGCATAGACAGTTCTATGTATTATGCGTACATATGTGTGACTAGCACGACAATATATATAATGTGTAGTTCTATCGATGCAGGACCGGGCAATCCTGCCGATCCCGCCAAGTGGAGTCTCGAGCGCAGCCATGGTGGGGTGCAATGTGTGGAGTGCAGTGTCATGAGTCACTAGACATGAGATTTCACTTACTTTCGTGCTTTCCCCTGGCCCTGCAGTGCGACGATAATTATGAATTTCTATGCAATTATTTTGCTACGCTGGGTGCGAAGCTTCCATGGTTCAGCAGCCACAAGGCCAGGGAATGTACCAGTGTGGAATCATATAATATAGAGCAGTAGTTGTTGTGTGCTCCGTGCACAGGTCGTGTTGCAAACTTTGGCAAAGCGCTATGCCATCTTTCCTGCCAATACCCGAAAAAAAATCATTCGGGCACCTTTTCTGCATATCAGTCATGTGCCTTGGCATCGAAGTCAGAGTATGCCATGCATGTGCACATCATATGCATTAAGGATTGGGCAGCTGCAGAAGCAACCACGATCAGGGGCATGGCTGTTCATGCCCTTCTATTGGCCAGACGGTCGAGCGGCTCTAAGCGGCTCAATGTATATATGATCGCATGCGAGGATTCGTGATATATATATATATATATATATATGTACATATCATCTATGTGCTAGCTTATGTCTGCCCGGATTCGTATGCTGAAAGAGCTGATTGGTTCTGTCATCGGTGCCTTGGATCATTATTGAGCGGGCCCCTGACGATTTCACTTTTATGTACATTCTATTGATACGAATGTAGCTATGCTATATCGCACTAAGGTGACACCGATGTTGAGGCCGCCATCGAGGCGGAGTTGCAAGCATCGCTGCAGGATAATTCCATGCAGGAGCATGGCCGTATTAGTGAGCTAGCCAGTACATGTCTCACAGTACGAGTGTTTCCCATTCGAACCGAAGCCCACCAATTTTTTGCCAACAGGAGAACTCAGCGGACTCGGCTTCCTCTCTCGAGCTTGCCAGCCGGCTGATTATCAAGCAAGCACTTCTAAGGTTTGGCTTCAGTGCCGGGGAGTTAAGTAGGGGTAATATAATCGAAAATATTTATATATATATATATATATATATATTTGTTTTTCTCTTAAGGCTTCGGGTTTCAGCTTACGGTGTTACCGGTACTAGGTCTGCATCCAGCGAGAGAGCAGCTGTGCACCGAGAGTGAACCACTGTTGAATTTGCTCCGCTTTGGGTTTGATATATAATTAACACCCTAGCAACCCTAAAACCCCAATCCTTAATCCACGATTACCTTATTATAATCACCCCTGAACACCTCAACCCGAAAACCCAAAGCCGAGCGAGGTACTAAACCCGGAGCCCCGTTCACAGTTATGCAGTAGTGCCTGGCTTTGGAGATATAGCCGGAATCCAGGCAATGCACAGCTAAACCCAGAACACTCGCCCGAAGAAGTTGTGCCTATATATGGTATATTAGCCACCTCGCTCCTCAATATAATGCCTATGTAGCTAGATCCCCTAAACCCTCGCAGCATCAGGACGACGGGCTGTCGAAAGATGCTGGCACCAAGCCGACCTGCCCGAAAGCTGCATGGCATTAACAACCGATCTGTAGCTATGTTGTAGGATCCGGGTGCACCAGCTAGTTTTTGTTCGGTAGTCTGAGGCTGTGCCGTTGGATGTTGACAATGTCGAGACTCAGCTTGACTTCTGGCAGCCTGACTTCTGGGAAACCCCGAAGAAGAATGAAGCTTTGGATGCTATCGATGAGGCGAGGATACTATGCTATGTAAACAGGTGGTGTCAGTGTAGGTCACTACTCACTTAGCTTATTCAATGGTGCGGGATATGGAGACGGAGGAATCGAAGAGAGCGCCGATCCACACGACGGCGCCAGATCTGAAGTTGTCTGAGGCCATGCTGGCTGAGTTCAAGGAGGACTTGAATGAAGCGAAGACCAGTGGAGCTGTGGCAGAGCAGCTGGAGGCGCAAATGAAACCCTTTACCCCAGCACCCCCTGAACCCTAAATCGTAAGCCGGACACGTGTTCATGAGTGGGGGCAACCGATACCTTGAGGCCTTATCCCTAAACCCGGAAAATCAACTGAACATCAAATCGAGTACTTCGATGCTCCAAACGTACTGATGAGCTCATCCACCTGTTCAGTCGACTTGGTGCATTACACGTACATTAGACTATAAAGCTGGGCAGGTGCAGAAAGCTGCACGATTGGCAGCAGCGGAAGCAAAGGTGGAAGCTGCCGCCCGCAAAGATGCCAGGATCGTGTCAAAGGGGTCTAAGGTGAAAACAGGGCGAGGGCGAGGCAGAGGCAGAGGGCGTGGTGAGACGAAGCCAGCCGAGAAGGAGCAAAAGGATGTGCAGGAGCAGGAGGAAGAGGAGAAGGAAGAGCCCCCAGCCCCGGTTCCGAAGGCCAAAGGAAAAGCCAAAGCTGCACCCAAAGCTGCAGCCAAAGCCTGTGCTGAACCAGCTGAAACCGAGCCAGCCGAGCCCGACGATGCAATCAAGTTCGACTGGGGTATGAAGGTGCTTTTTAATGTGATTGCATCGTTTTAATGCTTATATTGTATATATGATGCCTTGCAATTAGAGGCGGCGGAGCTGAAGCGGGGAGGAGTGCCCATCCCGCCTGGATTCAAAGGGGCCGCCAAGTCATACACCTTGGCAGCAGCAACATACCACGACGAGAACTCGGATGCCAGCTCGATCAGTGTTCTGTACTCTATCTGAAATATTGCCTCTGCTTATCGTTAAGCAGCCGAGCTGCAGTGCTAGAGTGATGCAGCAGCCAAGGTGGACCATCAATACGCTCTATGTGACGAAGACTATCAACAAAAAGGGCATTAATGTCAACAAGAAGGGAGGAAGCACGGTGTCCAAGGGCAAGTACGGCTCATGGAAGCAGTGCTGGAATGCCGCACGATATGCGGCAGGATGGACTGTGACTTGGATTTTATTCGTATCTCTGCTGCACTTAGCCCTAGCTACCTGGTTAAGTGACACGAGGACTCCTTTGAGGGCTGATGACGGATGGATGATTCGACTATGCAATCACCGGGATTTTGGATTGGCCGCTTGACTAAAGTTTAGCTACTTAAGCACGTAATTAGCCCTAAACCCTTCCCTGCTACTTTCATTTAAAACCCAGTACATATATAATATGTATGGCCCCCCACGTTTAATAATGAAACCAAAAACCTTAGCCTTAAACCCGGCTTGGGACCGGGAGCGGGGATGCACTGCCGGGCGCGAGTACTAGTACGGCTAAATCATATATCACTTAATTTTGAGGTCGGGGCCTCTGGATGTCATCGCATCGTTGCACTGCTGCAAGCCTGGGAGCTCAACCTGCAGCAAGAGGGAGAGAGAGAGGGAGAGAGAGCGAGAGAGAGAGAGAGAGTGCATGGTTTCACATGTTCTCGCCAACCTCCGAAATCCCTTGCTGTGCAGTATCGAACTGATCAGTGTTTGGATTACATTTCGGGGAAATCACAGCTACTAAACTTACTAAACTACACACCCTAGTGGCCAAACAAAAGCAACAACGGCGGCTGATGTATGTGCGATGTTGTTGACAATTTTTCAAGCTACACGCTGCTAGGCCGGCAGCACCTGTTGCCATGGCTGGGGAACCCCTCTATGTTTCTGGTCAGACTGCAGCTTTCCTGCTGAAATGTGGTGTGCCGATAATTGTGCCCCTTGGCCCACAAGAACAGAATCTTCATCGTGCCGAAGCTAGACTCACCCACACATCGGCCCATGCACGAACCGAGGATTCATGCCCTGGACTATATCTGTCAGTTGAATATGAGGCGGACAGAGTCCGAAGGCCAATGGACTCGAGACCCTTAACTCTGCAGTATGCCTAAATCGTGTGTCGTCGCTGCCTCTAGATCTAAACCCTGTGGAAGTGCGACTAGCTGTATGCTGCTGCCGAGGAGTTCCATGTCCTGGAAATGTTCTCTGGAAGCAGCAACCTGACCCGAGCATGCCGTACTTCGCCTGATTATCGTTGAGTCTTGCAGATGCAATATCGATGTGTGAGTCTGTGCTTTGGAGGGTCGTGAATCGGCCTCCATTTCCGAGGATCTGCGGGCTTGGTGTCGCAAGCCTCCGAAATTTGAGTGCATGTTACAGCATAGTCAGGTTCAGGATTGGGTTCATCGTTTACCTGCATCGGTCGTCTAAGGCAAAACTATGATATTATGCTTCGAGGAGATGTGAACGATATCCTCTCGGTCCAGGGTCTGCTCATTGCTCTACGGGATGTTCTCAGGTTGAGAAGGACAGGGCTTCTTTGGGGAGGTGTCCCCTGCAGCTCGAGGCTTGGCTTAATAAGCTCTAGCCACGCAAGAAACTATATCCCAAAACACCCTAAAATCCCCTAAGCTATAGTAAACCCCAAGTCTCCAACCCAAACTCCGCACCCCCCAAACCCCTACAAAAACCATCCCATACAGTAATGTAGCTGCAACAAAGCTCACTAACTCCAGCTGTGGCACGACACTCCCCCCGAAGCCCAAAGTAATAACAACAATTCCCAAAAGCCTAATAAACCCCACACCATCCCAACTCAAGCCAACTATAGATTAATGGCCCACGACCATTAAGCTGAACAAACGACATTCACCCCCAAGCCCCAAATAATAACTAAAGCCCACAACACCCAAAGCTTAATAAACCCGAAGCCCACTAATCTAAAAAACCATCCAGTAAAGTGCGAGATTGCATCCGAGAATCATATATACATATAATTTTAATATTCATATTCTAAGCTGTCTCAGCTACAAAGCAGCTTCATTTCATGCTGTTAATACATATAGACCTGGACCTGTCGTAGCATTTGGTGTTCTAGTTAGTCTATATTCATGGATTGCTACATATATTGCATAACTTGCAGCTTTCAGCCCACCCCTTGCCGAGACCTAAGAGCCGCAGGAGGGCTGAAGGTATAGGTTTATTGGGGTTTCAGGATTAAGGGCACAATGGCCTGCATGGGTTAAGGGCTTTTAGTTTTCGGGTGCAGACACCGCACCGGTACCTACAGTTAAAGGGCAACTTGCCAAGGTCAGACCATATTAGATTTTGGGTGAGGTATAGGGGCCAGGGCCAAGAGCTAGTTAGGGTTTAGGCGGAATACATCAAGTTGGGGAGTTTCGGGTTAAGGGAGATTCTTAAAAAAATCGGGATTAGGTTCGTGTGATAGGGCCGGATCCAGGGCTTGCCCCGAGGATTGCATAGGTGCCATCGCCATGCACGGGACTCTTCGTGCTTTGCTTGAGTCCGCCAAACTGGCCGTCCACCCACAGCCCACACAGGGTCGCCTCGCAAATGAAGCCGTCATGTGGGTGTGTAATCCTTGGCGCCTGAGGACTTCTGTTGTGTCCGGTGTCGATCGGCTTCGAAGGCCCTGTAGGTCTGGGAATCCTTCATCTGTCGCATGACCTCGACGCGCTTGCGTCGCTGGTTCTGCCACGTGTTTCCGCAGCCGGGGATCGCTCCCAGTGTCGTGGTAGTACTAGGTCGTACTAGTAGTCGTCATGCTACTGCTAAGTCGAGAGTAGTAGTAGTAGTAGTAGTAGTAGTAGTAGTAGTAGTAGTAGTAGTAGTAGTAGTAGTAGTAGTAGTAGTAGTAGTAGTAGTAGTAGTAGTACTAGTAGTTGTAGTAGTAGTAGTAGTAGTAGTAGTAGTAGTAGTAGTAGTAGTAAACTTCGTCCCCAAACCCAATCAACTGCAATCGATCCTGAATGCCGAAACTCCCCAATCCAAGGTGGATATTCTTATCTTCCTTTGCCACCGGCCGCTATGACAGCATCATGGGAAAGGACACTAAATCGACCCGAACTGCGAACAAAATCGTAAGCAGATTCTGCCTTATGATATGCATTGCCTTGGCTCGTGGTGTCCACTGGCTGGAACCTTGCCTCAATCGATCGATGATTGCTGTGTTCAGCTGAGGGCCCATGCAAAAGGCTTATAATGTATCGACTGGTGTTCTGAGGTGGAGCAGCCAGGTGGCTCCCTGCTGATGCAATTTCCCTTGATGGACTATCTACTCCGCCTTGCCGGGCATGTTCACAGACTGTGGGGTTCCTACACGTAGTAGTAGTTGTGATGCTTTAAGTTTGACTTCTGATATAATTAATATTCTTGGACGAGGTGGCTGGGAGCTTATGGCCACCCGCGTCCGAAGCGAACCCTTCTTTTTGGTTCCCTGTGCCTTGAACTGATCGATAGACTCCCATATATTCAAGCCCAGACCTAGGAGGTTATAGAAACAATCAATGCAACCAAGGACAATAATCTATGGGTTGAACAAGAGGATGACACGTGCCCAGTGGAAGAGGTCGAACTCCACCCAACTTGTCAAAAGAACAAGGAAAGATGGTAAGCTTCGAGTGAACCCGGGATGCAGTATTTTTCAGGTATATATATGGCAGTTAAGGTTGATACTCACATGTTTCTGAATGCACCTGAGGACGGGGAAAACGCTTGCACTTCGCAAGTCTGCTGTCTATCCTGACGGGTTTTGCAAAGAGATTGCCAGCCTCTTTGAAAGCTACCTGGCAGTGGCCTCATATACATCACCAAACATATATATTGAATATCACACTCAACTCCGTCTGTCCTAAGGAAACCGGGATGCCCGGCCCGCAGGTCAGGCATGAAGCTCTCGAGAACGAGCGATTGGTCCAGGACACCTTCCGTGTTTTGGGCATTGATGGGCCAAATTCCAGTTCAGGGTGTCTGAACCCGTATCCCCAGCATCTAGACCCTAAGCCACTATGGCATATACTACACTCGAAACCACCCCCAAACCCAAACTACGGGAAACCACAATCAGCATCTCAACCCCAAGAGTCGTACCCGAAGCTAAATAAAGCTACACTAATTTAACCAAAAACCCCTGAGCTACAACTTGACAGGTCCCGCCTGAACTGTTGTATTACTGGCGCGAGTAATCGTACCCCCTTCATTACTTTATAACTAGCTGCTGTGCACTGGTTAATCGTATTCGGTCTGAATAACACAGCCCTTCGGCCGGTTAGCAGTGCTTCCTCTAGCTTATGTACGTATACGATATAGGGTGCCAATCCCCCATTAATTCGGATTCGGATTCGGGTTTGATGTGATGGGTGGGTCGGGTTTAGCAATATCCGGGATCGAGTATGTCGTTAAGCGACGACTAAGCTTAATTTCCTTCTATATTATCGTTGATGGTCTCCTCCTGCTGTAGCACGATCCACAGCTTCATCGTTGGTCTGCCAATTCCCAAATGCCCCGGGAGAACATGGCACAAGGCCCCAGTGTCTGCATATCGCAGCAGATTTCATTGAACCGGGTTCCAGGGCTCGTAAAGCAGTACTGCCGGTGCCACCGACTTTGTTGGATAGTAGACGTGGGTCAGTGTCGGCTTTGCCACTACTGCTGTAGGGCTTCCAGCTCGTTCCATGTGGTGCCCCGATCCGGCACTGTCGAGCACCGTAGTTGATGTGCCCAGACCGAAACCCGAGAAACCCAGGAAACTATAAGCTAGACTACTGACTTTCTAGATCTGAAAGCTAGCAACATTAATCCTTAATGGTAACAGCTTACAAGATGGGCCCGATCACTATGCGGTAGTGTTGGAATGCCCTGAACCTGATGAGGCTTGTAGGTAGCATACTTATAACTAAAGATTCAAATGAATCCTCTGCTCGATGTCTGAGATGCCTCTGTAACCTTAGGGG